AGTTCAGTTAGTTCAGTTCTAGTTCAGTTCTAGTTCAGTTCTAGTTCAGTTCTAGTTCAGTTCTAGTTCAGTTCTAGTTCAGTTCTAGTTCAGTTCTAGTTCAGTTCTAGTTCAGTTCTAGTTCAGTTCTAGTTCAGTTCTAGTTCAGTTCTAGTTCAGTTCTAGTTCAGTTCTAGTTCAGTTCCAGTTCAGTTCTAGTTCAGTTCTAGTTCAGTTCTAGTTCCGTTCTAGTTCAGTTCTAGTTCAGGTTCTAGTTCAGTTCTAGTTCAGTTCTAGTTCAGTTCTAGTTCAATTCTAGTTCAGTTTTAGTTCAATTCTAGTTCAGTTCTAGTCATGTTCACTAAACGTTTTACTAAACAGATATTTTTTACTTACTAAAAGAACGATATCTTATTTTCCGTCCCAAAAAAACGGTTGTATATATGTTTTATAAATTTTTGGTATATTTTCCCCAATCAAATTTAAAGAGAATACAACATATTAATGATAACGAAAAAATATATTTACCAACAATACTGCTTTCACAAATGTTTACAAACAAAAAAATTTTTAAGTAAATAATTAATAAAAAACCCCTCCACCAAAAGAAGAACTGATAACGATACATTTTTATTTAAAAACTAAAACATATAAACCGACCAGTAAAAAGGGGAAAATATAAAAAATATGCAACATAAAAACTGCTGAAAAAATGATCTCTGGCAAAAATCCCCCCAGTTTTTTAAAAATCTCTATTGAGTAACAAGAATTAAGTTTTATATTTTTTGCTTTGTTTTGTTGAATTTATCAAGGTTAAAATAATTAAAAACTTTTTAAGCTAATATTTATATTTGAGTAGTAGAACACTTAATATATCTGTTAAATAATAACAAAAAAATATACATTTATTTTATGTTTAAACTTGTTTTCATAGTGTTTAATAATACTGGTACCAAATACGAATAAGTACCTTGTGTCAAAAAAAAGTGATGGCCGGCTAATGTACCGATTACCATTTAGATAAAAATGACAAAACCAACAACAATTAAGAACGATAGCTTTTGTGAGATAGTAAGTGAGTCTTGGTCTTAATAAATTTAGATTTTAAAATAATGATTAGAATGGTCTTAATGACTAATTTAAATTAAAGACTTTTTAGTTTATAGAAAAACGCTGTGTAAATAATATTTGTTAATTGGGGAAGTGGAAGTACTTGAGTTTTATTTGCGTTCTTTTTTTGCATGTAGGAAAGTCAAGATGTCGTTAGCTGGACTGTAGAATTATTCAAACATTTTAGATTTTTGGAATTTTTGATTAAACAATTTTACGTTTCGAAAAAGGTAACTGGTTCAGTTAAGTTCGAGTTCAGTTCTAGTTCAGTTCTAGTTCAGTTCTAGTTCAGTTCTAGTTCAGTTCTAGTTCAGTTCTAGTTCAGTTCTAGTTCTAGTTCTAGTTCAGTTCTAGTTCAGTTCTAGTTCAGTTCTAGTTCAGTTCTAGTTCAGTTCTAGTTCAGTTCTAGTTCAGTTCTAGTTCAGTTCTAGTTCAGTTCTAGTTCAGTTCTAGTTCAGTTCTAGTTCAGTTCTAGTTCAGTTCTAGTTCAGTTCTAGTTCAATTCTAGTTCAGTTCTATTTCAGTTCTAGTTCAGATCTCTTGATGATCTACATTTTGTTTTTCCCCATTGTCTTTTTCCGTGCTTCTCTAATATAAATAGATTTTAGTCCCCATTAAAGTAATCTGTGAATACCCCCAGTAATATTTAGCTTTTTTAGCAAATAACAATTTCTTCCATGTTCATGCGGAACAAAAACAATAACAACAATTTTTCCTATAAACAAAATAAATTATCAATTAACAATTAAGAAAATTTACACAAAATAATAAACAACAAAAACATGAAAACAAAAGTTTCCTCATACTCGTTCCCTATTCTACCCATAACCACCATCATGCAACCATATAAAGGGGGCATATTTAATATTTACAATCGATCGTACGAACACTCAGGTATGTGACTGTCTAGCTTACTATTTGCAAATGAAAACAAAACAATGATTTTTAGGTTGGGCCCCCCTTCGGTGCAGCAGTACCCCCGATGTGACAGTTAAGCTCCACAGATGCCTGAGTGACTGACTTATTAACGCGCACTAACCATTTAGAGTAAAACAAGCCGTAAACTTTTGTTGATTTATTTGTTTTTGTTGTGTTTTGTTTAATTTTTAAATTTAAAAAAAAAAAAAAACAGAATTTCAATAAATGTTCAAATAGGGAATGTTTTGCATTTCAGTAGAAATGAAAATAAAGCTGAAAAATTTAAAAACAAAAATCATTCAATGCTACGTGAGCTGATGTCATATACGAGGGCACGTTTACGTTTTACTGTGATTATTTTGTTTATTTTTTATGAATTTGTGACGAGTATTAAAGTCAATCCATTAGGTGTTACCCATGAATTGTGCAGTACTGTACCGTGGCTGTATTGGGATGTGCCAGTCAATAGTATTAGTACTGTGTCAGAGTGGGGAGGGTTTGTCATTTAAAAATGATTGACTAATAATTATTTACAAAATGTGAATGACTGACTGCCATAATAAATAATATGTGTGAATAACAATAACGCGAAGACGCAGCGCAGCACCTTCTTTTAAGGTGAGGGCAACTTTTTTCGAATTATAATATTTTTTATTATCTTCTTTTTGTTGGCTTTATTTTATTATTAAGCAATATTATTTATTTAATTTACAATAATTCTTATTTCTGTTTCTGATATTTTTTAAAAAATGCTTTATTTTCTTATATAATATTTCAAGAATTTTGTAAAATAATTAACGTTAAATTTGTTATCTGTATATAAAGGGAACCGTTCAACAATAGTGTGTTTTGAGGAATTGCATTTTACATTCAATATTTAAAGAGCTGATTTTGTGACTGATATCAATTTGACGTTTTGTTTACTTTTTAATATTAATAAAATATTTAAACAATATGCCGGAGACTGCATTTGTTATCTGTTATAATATTTATTTTTCAGTAAAAATAGTTATCATTTGGATGAAGACACAAAACTGAAATACATTAATTGCATTTGCCAAAAAAAAGTTTTTAATTTTTTATACTTTTATGTGTTTTATAGAAAAAGCATCATTATGAAACACTTTTTGACAAAAAAAAGAACTGAACTAGAACTAAACTAGAACTAAACTAGTACCAAACTAGAACTGAACTAGAACTGAACTGAAGTAGAACTGAACAAGAACTGAACTATAACTGAACTAGAACGGAATTAGAACTGAACTAGAACCGAACTAGAACCGCACTAGAACTGAACTGAACTAGAATTGAACTAGAACTGAATTAGAACTGAACTAGAACTGAACTAGAACTGAACTAGAACTGAATTAGAACTGAACTAGAACTGAACAAGAACTGAACTACAAACTGAACTACAACTGAACTAGAACTGAACTAGAACTGAACTAGAACTGAACTAGAACTGAACTAGAACTGAACTAGAACTGAACTAGAACTGAACTAGAACTGAACTAGAACTGAACTAAACTAGAACTGAACTAGAACTGAACAAACTGAACTAGAACTGAACTAGAACTGAACTAGAACTGAACTAGAACTAGTACTGAACTAGATCTGAACTAGAACTGAACTAGAACTGAACTAGAACTGAACTAGAACTGAACTAGAACTGAACTAGAACTGAACTAGAACTGAACTAGAACTGAACTAGAACTAGAACTGAATTAGAACTGAACTAGAACTGAACTAGAACTGAACTAGAACTGAACTAGAACTGAACTAGAACTGAACTAGAACTGAACTAGAACTGAACTAGAACTGAACTAGAACTGAACTAGAACTGAACTAGAACTGAACTAGAACTGAACTAGAACTGAACTAGAACTGAACTAGAACTGAACTAGAACTAAACTAGAACTGAACTAGAACTAAACTAGAACTGAACTAGAACTGAACTAGAACTGAACTGAACTAGAACTGAACTAGAACTGAACTAGAACTGAACTAGAACTGAACTAGAACTGAACTAGAACTGAACTAGAACTGAACTAAACTGAACTAGAACTGAACTAGAACTGAACTAGAATGAACTAGAACTGAACTAGAACTGAACTAGAACTGAACTAGAACTGAACTAGAACTGAACTAGAACTGAACTAGAACTGAACTAGAACTGAAACTAGAACTGAACTAGAACTGAACTAGAACTGAACTAGAACTGACTAGAACTGAACTAGAACTGAACTAGAACTAGAACTGAACTAGAAACTGAACTAGAACTGAACTAGAACTGAACTAGAACTGAACTAGAACTGAACTAGAACTGAACTAAACTGAACTAAACTGAACTAGAACTGAACTAGAACTGAACTAGAACTGAACTAGAACTGAACTAGAACTGAACTAGAACTGAACTAGAACTGAACTAGAACTGAACTAGAACTGAACTAGAACTGAACTAGAACTGAACTAGAACTGAACTAGAACTGAACTAGAACTGAACTAGAACTGAACTAGAACTGAACTAGAACTGAACTAGAACTGAACTAGAACTAACTAGAACTAACTAGAACTGAACTAGAACTGAACTAGAACTGATCTAGAACTGAACTAGAACTGAACTAGAACTGAACTAGAACTGAACTAGACCTGAACTAGAACTGAACTAGAACTAAACTAGAACTTAACTAGAACTGAACTAGAACTGAACTAGAACTGAACTAGAACTGAACTAGAACTGAACTAGAACTGAACTAGAACTGAACTAGAACTGAACTAGAACTGAACTAGAATTGAACTAGAATTGAACTAGAACTGAACTAGAACTGAACTAGAACTGAACTAGAACAAAATTAGAATATTGAACATAATTAAAAAGTTAATTCGACCAATTAAAAATCCCTGAAAAATATTTGTAAATAGACTGAAAATTTGACTTAATCAGCTTTAAAGATGTAAATTATTTTATTTATTTTCTATTAATATATTTTTAGATCGTTTCCGAGTGTGAAATAAGACGTGCCCAACAGATAAAAGAAGACATCGATCAGTCGCCCGATACACAACCTCAACAGTTTATTCAACGTTTCAAAAGTCGATCAACAGATAATCTAGATCTGCCCAACGAAGATGACAAAAAAACAATTGGTGAACGTTTGGCTAATATGTATACGCGATTTTCGCCAAGTGAGTAGTTAAACATATTTTACTAAATTTTGAAAGATACACTTTAAATGCGTACAGTGCGTTTCATGTATTATAATTCTCATTTAGTTTAGAATATTGTTAATACAATTTATCTCAACAGTTAGAAAAGCGAACGGTTTAAATCATTATGGGCTATTAAAGTCAAATGTACTGCTTTTTTTTGAAATTCCTTAATAATTGCGATTCAAAGAAAATTAATTGTAATTATATTGAGGAAATCATTATTACAAAAATTTCAAAAAGAAAAAAAATACAAAAATTTTCCTTTCATAAAAATGAAAACTTTAATAAATAACCAGCAAATAAAAACGTTTTTTCTCATAAATAACATAAAAAATAAAAGTTTGTAATAATTAATAATAAAGCCTCTAACTATTCATCAATTCAGTAGAAAAATTACCAACCCATTACTACCACCAACAACAACAATAACCATAACATACCTTATAGGAAAAGGTGCATCAATCGTTTCCATTCATTATGCGAATTTTTACAGACATACCTGCAAAAAAAAAAAAAAAATAAAAAAAAATAAATTACAAACTGACGATAATTCAAAAACAAATCAAAACTTTTATATAATAAATAAGAAATTGTTGGTATATAAATGCAAAAACAAATTTAAATAAATATTACTGAAAAAAAGAAGAAAAAATCCAAAAACATGAATCATAACTTCATCACTTAAGCAGCAAGTCAGCCATATATCCATAAACGTTTTTAGTGAATAAAATCTATTAAACAATTTTTTGTTGTTTCAGTTTTTGTTTCTTTCGAAAAACTGTCTTTGCATTTATAATTTATGCAAGTTATGACGCTGAAAAACAAAATGTATTTATATGGTACTTAATCACCACACAGAGAGTTGAAATTAGCAGTTTAAGGGATCTGAAACCACTAAGAAATTATAAGACCAATAAGTTCAATAAAATAAAATGCGTATAATTGTGGCTACGTGTTATTATAGGCGTTGAAATTTATATAATTTACTTAGTCACTTTTATAAGCCGCAATTAAATGGAATCATTTCTGTAGTTTGCTCTCAGAAATCCAATTACTTAAAACGATAAAGTGTTAATTAGAAATGTAAACGAAATAAAATTAATATTTGAAATTAAAAAATCAAAAACAACGATTAAACGAACTAATTAATAACGAAAAATTAAAAAAAAAACGAATAATTTGCAGAAAATACAAAACGAATTTCTACAAAAATGAGTATTTTAGGTGATAAAAGTATGAAATAATAATAAAGTAGAATTATAAATATAATTTTATAAACAAATTTTAACTTTAAAAGTGGGATATAATGGGATATAAATATTTCCTTAATAAGAGAAATGTTCTGAAATATAAAAATTTTCTAAAACTAATTAATGAAAATAACTATAATGTAATTGAACACCGATCAAGCAATTTCTCAATTGGCTAATTTTTGCACCCAATGAGGGAAAAAGAAATATACCCGCCTGGTACCAAATTGACATCAAACTGTTTGTAATTTTTCAATACCATCCGTTGTCAATACCATCCGTTGCCAATTTTTGCACCCAAATGCCTTTATTGTAGAAGGGAATTGCTGGTTATTTAAGATTGAAGTACACAGTGGGAAAAAGAAATATACACGCCTGGTACCAAATTGATGTCAAAGTATATACATCGTACTACAACACTATGTAATGTTGACAACATTATAACAATTCGTTTTCCAAATCTAAATTTTATACACATCCGTTGTCTAAATGTTAACAAACGTGTTAAGCTCACTATTGACAAACAATCCGTTAACAATAGTGAGCTTACCACGTTTGTTAACATTTAGACAACGGATGTGTATAAAATTTAGATTTCGACAACGAATTGTTGCAATGTTGACAACGATTTCAAATCAAGCTCATTTTGGGATTAAGTCAATCTTGGAAGTTCTTAAATCAATTTAATTTTCATATCATATATGCAATCGATCTTAAATCAAACAGACAAATCTTAAAATATGTAATTAGTGATCAATTAAATAAATCTCTTTAAAATGTCTATAAAGAAAACTTGATCAGTAACACAACTCTGCATAATAAATCTGATAAATGAGTAAATTGTTATACTTCATATCACTTCAAATGACTCGATATTATAGATGTTGAAGGTGGATCAACATCTATAAGATCGAGTCGCTAGTTATTGGCATGATTAGGCATGTCTAATTTAATTTCTAAATAAACATAATTGTTATAACTTTTAAAATTTTTTACAAGAATATAACTTAGTAATAAATATTTTTCTTGTCTTTTTTTTTTTCTTTTCAGTCCAACGAGGAATTCTCAATATGTAAGTACACATAAAGACTAAATTTTGACTTAAAATGTACTTGAAAACACAATAATTTTTTCAATACCGTCGTTTTTGTTCTGAGCGATATTTTATAGAAGAAAATTATAGAAGATGACACCCCAAAAGGAATATGTAATTCTTTCGATTCGAATATTTCTCATGTTGAATCTAGAAAAATAGAAGTCATAGCGCTTTACCGAGTATTGAGTCCGAATACCTTGCATGTAGTTCAAACCCAATCTTGTACTTTTCCAACCACAAGTTTTAGCTAGAGTCGACCCACTACATGCTCAAGTGCCTAGATCTATTTAATATCCGCCTACCTCAGTCCCGTTGCTTAATGCGTAATGTTTGGCAATCTTAAGATCATATTAGAAGCATTGCTCGGGTAAAGTTCTCATGTTCATAGTGTATGATGAATTGTTTTAAAGAACAATGATTTACAAATAATGTTTTCTAAGAACTGTTTTTTTTAATAACTGGATTTCTCATCCCTAGTCTGAACATAATAAAGGAATAAATACTATAATTTCCCGGCCCCTTTGTTTACGCTATTTGGCAGGGCTTTAGGACATTTTATTCAAACCAACTACTTTCCTATAAAAACATTTATATCGGTTTAATCAATTTGTCTAATTTTTATAATATAAAGAGTCAGATCCAATTTCTAATTTCTAGGTTCTTTTTTGAACTCCCAGACCTTTTTGTGATTAAGCATTCTGTGCATTCGAGAGAGCATTTTTTACTGATCATCTGGGCTCTTGTTTTTATACCCACCATAATTTTGTCATTCCGTTTATAATACATCGAAATATTGGTCATAGATCCACAAAAGTATATATAAATATTCTGTGGTCTTATTAAATTCTAAAACGATCTAGCCATGTCTGTCTGTCTATCTATCTGTTGAAAGCACGATAGAGGCCGAACGGAAAGAGGTAGAGGGTTGAAATTTTCCACAAATATTCCTTCATGGTATTGAAAATTTACAATATCCACGATTTCGGATGGCCCCCATAAAGTGGACCCCCCCCCCCCGAAAACCAGCTTTAACCCCCCAAATAAGATCCCCTGACCTGCTTTATCCGAAAATTCAATTGTTCTATAATGACGTGGCAGATCTCTCTAGAATAAATGCACCAAGACTATTTCGTGGTATGAACAATGGGGCTAGTCATGAACCCGAGCCTCTGAAACCTAACCCCCCCACACAAATTATAAGGGATCGATTTCCAGCGATTTAACGATGATCAAAAAAAGAAAAGTAGATGACTGTTCACATAATTTCAAATAATTTACTGCATAATGGAAATATTTCTAATGAAAATGCATTACTTAAGACAAGCACGTACTTGTCACTTTGACAGATATTTTTAATAAAGAAAACGTAGGTGTTAAAAACGCGAGTAGATTCTGATAAAAAAAAATCTGTATTTACGTAACTAAACCATTTTTGAATATAAATGAAATCGTTACAAAAGTAACTTTATAAACTCAAAAATCGAATTAGAATAAATAGTAAAATAATAGAATTCTGATTTTTAAATAAGACCCTAAATCAAAAGGTTTGATTTTGTAAAAATTTTTCATTAATGAGAATACATACATTTTATAAATATATCCTTTTACTTATTTTTTCCCTTCCTTCCCCCCATTTCTTCCAGCAGAAGTTCACCCAAAGGCGACAAAAAAGTCTACAAAAGAAATCGTGCCAGTCAATCGACTAGTCTCTATCTGGAGGATGGTCTTAAACCGAAACCACCCATATTTGGTGCACCACTACATCAACTTGAATTGCAACAAAATGTGCCACGTTTCGTAGTTGACACAGTTGATTATATCGAACGTAAAGATCGTATTATACAAGATGGTCTATATCGTGCCTGCGGCAATAAATTCTCCATAGACGAGTTGAAATTAAAACTAACAAAAAGTTATATATATGATTCAAAACTTATAGTAGCCGATGATATACATACGGTAACAAGTTTATTGAAACAATTTTTCCGAGATTTACCGGAACCGTTAATACCACAAGATATCTATAATCGTATAACGGTAAATTTGGCAGATAAAGAAAGCCTGGATACGATACGAATAGCCATCGAAGAGATGAAGGAGCCCAACAAGTCAACACTGAGATTTTTGATAAAACATTTAACAAAGTAAGTTGTTGCTCTACCTTTAAAAGAAACAATTTTTAATTGTATTAATCCTTCTCTTAATTTCCTATTACAGTGTCGCTGCCTGCAGTTCTTCAAATCGCATGAATGCTTCCAATATGGCCATTGTCTGGGGACCCTCGTTATTTGCCCTTAATGATACATACGATATGATTGGGCGCATGAACACTTTAACCAAAGTTTTAATAGAAAATTATGATCGAATTTTTGATACAAATGAACGTTTACTTTAATATTTAAGTTTATTCATTTATAATTTATACTACTTCATTTACATATACATATATAATATTTATTATAATTAAGTGTTCTAATCCTAAAATCCTTTAAGTTAAATGAAAAAGCTTTACTCATTAGTTTCCCGTTTTAGTCATCAAGTATAAATCAAATTTAAATTTTTCTTAAACATCACACAACATACCAAAAAGTTATAAAAAAAACATAATAATTTTCATAAAAGACAATTAATTTTAATTATTTTTTTTTTAAATCATATTTTTAGTTAAATAATTAAATAATAATAATTATGTTGAAGTCGTTTATTAAATGTCAATTTTAATTGTAATTAAATTAAGTCATTTTTTGTTTTGGAAAGAATTACTCATTTTGTCAATTAATATTATTATTATTTAAATAATTATATAAAAGTATGAATGTTTATGTGTGTATTAAAATATATCTATCTCTCTTTATAGTTTTAGCTGCTGTCGCTTTTTTTACTTAATTGTTTTTAATTTTTTTATAATTATTATTATTATTTTTGCTTTTAAATTGTATGTTTTTTCCTTCAAAATTCCCTTTCTTAAGAAATTTGTTCTAAATTTGTTATTCATTGTTTTAAGATATATTTAAATTATAATCAATTTAGTCGTAATGAAAAGAACATATAAATTAATTAATGTGATAACTTAGTTGTTTAAGACTGTGTATGAGTGCTTTTTTTGTATATAATAAAAAAAAATAAATAAACAAAAAATAATAAAATATTAATACGAAAATAACAAACAAATATTCGAAAATAATTTGTTTTATATTATTTGAAAAAATAATTAAAATTTAGTGAAAACTGGTTTCAATAACATCAATTTTCTATAGATCACTTAATTATTTTATGCAAAAATGTATCGATCACTTAGATTTTTTGTAAATTATTTATTGATCATTTTTATTTTTCAGTTTTACTGTTATTGATATTTAAAATGAAAATTCTACAACTTAAATTTTCAAAAATGAAACTTAATTGTGTTTTTTATAGAAAACTAGCTATACCCAATGTGCTTTGCTACCCTAAAAGCCAAAAAAAAAAACCCACTAAGGAGATGCTACAACCCACCTAGGAGATGCTACTCAAATTATTGCAAGTTCGCCAACTTTTCTGAATTTAATTCATATGGAAAAGGCCAATCCCTCCATTCAAATTTTCACATGAATGTCAAAGTTCTTCGTGTAAAATTTGAAGATTCTAGCTTCTACAGTATCTCAGAAATACAAATTTTTCTATATAATTCATATGGGGGTTCCAAGCCACCCCCTGATGAAAGTCCGCTATTTTCCCCCAAAATGTTCAGATCAATATGAAAGTCCTTTTTGCAAAATTTTAGGAATCTAGTTCTATTAGTTTCTTAAATAAAATATTTTTTTGTATTTTATTAATATGGGAGGTGCCGCTCCCCCCATGGGTAGTCCGCCAATTTATTACCCAAAATATTTACATGTATGCTAAAGTTCTTCGTGCAAAATTTGAAGCTTTTAACTCTAATAGTTTCCAAGATAAACGAATTTGTGTATTTAATTAATATGGGAAGTGCCACGCCCCCTGCTGCTAGTCCGCCAACTTTTTATCCTAGCTAATCATATTGAGACTTATGTGGTTCCGACCAAATTTGAGGTCTCTAACTGTTACATTGTCCGTGATATACTGATTTAATATTTTTTTAATATGGAAGATGCCACGCCCACTATAGTCATTCCGCCTATTGTGTCCAAAAATATTATTATGAATGTCAAAGTTGTCCGTGCAAAATTTGAGAACTCCAATTGTACCAGTTTCCAAGATATATGACTTTTAATAGTTATTTAATAAGTAGGCGTGGCACCTTGCCTAGTTGAAATTTTAAAATAAAAAGTAGCCTATAGTTCCTTCTAGATATACAGGAAGGTACTGTTAAAATTTCAAGAAAATCGGTCAAGCCGTTTAACCGTCTATAGACTTCAAACAAACAAATAAACAGACATTCATTTTTATATCGATCACTTTAATTTTCCAAAATTTATCGATCACTTGAAATTTTTATATAAATATTATCTATCAGTTTAATTTTCTATTGGAAGTTTATCGATCACTATCATTTTCTATAGAAAATTTATCAATCACTTTCATTTTCTATAGAAAATTTATCGATCACTTTAATTTTCTATGGAAAATTTATCGATCACTTTAATTTTCTATGGAAAATTTATCGATCACTTTCATTTTCTATAGAAAATTTATCGATCACTTTAATTTTTTATAGAAAATTTATCGATCACTTTAATTTTCCATTGAAAATTTATCGATCACTTTAATTTTCCATTGAAAATTTATCGATCACTTTAATTTTTTATAGAAAATATATCAATCGCTTTAATTTTCCATAGAAAATATATCGATCACTTAAATTTTCTATAGAAAAATTATCGATCACTTTCTTTTTCTATAAAAAATTTATCAATCACTTAAATTTTATAGAGGAAATCACGATCACTTTAATTTTCTGTAGAAAATTTGTCGATCACTTTAATTTTCTATAAAAAATATTTCGATCACTTTAATTTTCCATAGAAAATATATCGATCACTTTCATTTTCTATAAAAAATGTATCGACTAAAATTTCCGACAGAAAATTTATCGATCAATTTAATTTTCTATAGAAAAATTATCGAAAAATTATGACTTCAATTTTTTACAAATTTTAATTTTTCTATAAAACTTTCATTTTCTATAAAAACTATATCGATTACTCTAATTTCCCATAGAAAATTATTGATAACTTTAATTTCCTATAGAAAATATTTATGGAAAATTGATCATTTTAATTTTTAAAGACATTTCTGATCACTTGAATTTGCTATGATAATTTAAAGATCTCTTGATCTCTATAAAAAATGTATCAATCTTTTGAAGTTTTTATAGAAAGTTTATCGATCAGTCAAAAGTTTTATTGAAAATGTATCAATCACTGGTTTTTTTCTATAGAAAATTTTCGATCACTTGAAATTTATAAAAATTTTTAAAGATTAGTTGAATTTTCTATTTCGAGCATTAAATTTGTATATAACATTATCGATCATTTTATTATTTATACAATTTTATCGATCACTTTTTATTCGTTAGAAAATTTAATGATCACTTTAATTTTTATAGAAAATTTAAAAATCACTTTAATTTTCTACAAAAAATTATCGACCACCTAAATATTACATAAAAATGTTATCGATTACTTAAATTTTTATAGAAAATTTATCAACCAGTTGAATTTTCTGTAGGGTATCGACTGAACTACGTTTTAGAAAACTATTTTCACATTTTGTGGCTAATGTATCAAAATAATATGCGGTTAGTTCATCTAAATAAGAAATAACTCCTTGCATTTGAAAAATAATTCCAGTATTTTATTTTTTACGCAAATATTTATTTATATAAGTTTCATATCTTTACGGTTATGTTATGTAGATACTTTAGCCTCAGCCGATCATTGACGATCACAGCTGATAACAATATCTTTATTGTAGTTAAAATTTCCACGATCCACGAATGCCACCACTGAAATCATTACGATTATGACTAAAATCACGTGATGCTTGAGCATAGGCGTCAACGGATCCTCGACCATCATGACTGGTGAAAATATTTTGATTGTAATTAACTGAGGCCTGACTACCGGATTGATCCTTTTTAACGTCCAAATCAATATGTCCACCTTTTGGAGAACGTATGTGACGTCCTAAGGCCGGTTGATTAATCTGACTTAAAACAGATGGTTCAGGATCGTAAAAATGGGCTGCCGGCAAGGCTGAAACCGCCAGGATTAGACAGGCAGCGAACAAAACAACACATTTTAAAGAGAGCATTTTTTTTATTTTAGCTTTAGTAAACTTATTCTTCGAGTACTTTTGATTTACTGCGTGCTTTAGATATGTTTAAAATGGATTTATATACTCATCGTGATAGCAAGTTTAGTATTAAATATTGAATCAAGGAATCTATTTAAAGTTATGTGGGTACCGTAAATGTATGAGGCTATTTTTAAAAGGGGGTTTTAATGTCTTATATTATTCAGAAAAGAATAATAAGATATAAAAAATATATTATTAAATGTATTAAATATTATTACCAAGAAATTTTACCTGACGAGGTACAAGCAATCATGTTAACGCTTTAACTCGATCTTTTGAATTTTCAAAATTTAGAATTATAGATTTCCACCTCCCAATATAAAAATCACAAGAAATAATTTAAAATAAATTAATCAGCTGTTTATTTATTTATATCAAATTAAATATAAATCACTTAAAATCTCCAAGATCCAATGATGCCACCACCAAAATCATTGCGATTATGGTCGAAATTTCTTGAAGCTTGAGCATAAGCATCAATAGAACCACGACCATCACTGCTGCTGTACAAATTGTGGTTATAGTTGACCGAAGCTTCACGACCAAATTGATCCTGTTTTACACCGAAATCAATATTACCATGTTGAGGTGATCTAACTTGTCGAGATAATACCGGCTCATACTGGTAATATTCTGAATTTTCTGGCTCCAATTCATAGATATCTACAAATTCTATGGGTGAAGCTGTTGCAGTTAGGATAAGGCAGGAGGCCAACAAAAGTATATACTTTATAGAGAACATTTTAAGTAATAATTTGTTTAATATTTGGATGCTCCGGATTTACTGATCGTATAGTAAGAAGAGCCGATCTTATATACATATGTTTTGTATTAGGAAAAGGGGATCTACATTTGGTGTTTCAATATTTTTATAAGATTTTCTTATCAGTTTTCATATTCTGGGATTTACCTATTAAAAAATTATTCAAATATTATTTTTTAAGACAATGAACTCAATTTCAATAAACACTTATTTCATAATAAGGTGCTTGTGAAGCTATTATCAAATGCAATAAAATCCCCTTTTAAAAAAAAGCATACATAATGTATGTCTGAATATTTTGAATAGAGATGATTTATACATTTTTAACTGGAAGTAATAAGATTTACAAATAATGTTTATTTGATAAGATACCTCAATACAATCATAGCTTCAGTTATTCAGCTACAAAATAGGTCAGGTTCAAGAAGGATTGTTTTAGGTTTAAGTTTTTAATTTATGGATGGATGGATGGATGGATGGATGGATGGATGGATAGGTAGATAGATAGATAGATAGATAGATAGATAGATAGATAGATAGATAGATAGATAGATAGATAGATAGATAGATAGATAGATAGATAGATAGATAGATAGATAGATAGATAGATAGATAGAAGATAGATAGATAGATAGATAGATAGATAGATAGATAGATAGATAGATAGATAGATAGATAGATAGATAGATAGATAGATAGATAGATAGAAGATAGATAGATAGATAGATAGATAGATAGATAGATAGATAGATAGATAGATAGATAGATAGATAGCTAGATAGATAGATAGATAGATAGATAGATAGATAGATAGATAGATAGATAGATAGATAGATAGATAGATAGATAGATAGATAGATAGATAGATAGATAGATAGATAGATAGATAGATAGATAGATAGATAGATAGATAGATAGATAGATAGATAGATAGATAGATAGATAGATAGATAGATAGATAGATAGTAGATAGATAGATAGATAGATAGATAGATAGATAGATAGATAGATAGATAGTGATAGATAGATAGATAGCTAGATAGATAGATAGATAGATAGATAGATAGATAGATAGATAGATAGATAGATAGATAGATAGATAGATAGATAGATAGATAGATAGATGGATGGATGGATTGATGCTTTTCTTCAAGGTTTCGTAATATCATGCATGACTAAAGTGGTGACATTCTTGAAGCATTACTGATTTCAGACTATTTATTTAAAATACCACAAATGTAAATATTTCTCTGTGGTCTATGATCTATTTTAAGAAATAGAGTTATGGACCAATTAAATAAGCCTAAACTATACAATAATACTGTAATGTTGCTAAATTGTTTGGGACTCCACCTCAAGATAGCTAGTGTATAAAGAAGTAAACCATTTGATATTAATAAAATACGTTTGAAATTTATTTTAAAACATACGCGATCCTCGAATGTTACCTTCAAATCGGTATCATCATTAACCGTCTTCAGCAAAACCAATGGATATATTAAATCTCAAAATCTATCCTATGTAATAGGCTCCTCCTCAATAATTCCTTGTCCGCTTGAACGCAGGTGACGCACTACATACAGATCATACATATTTTTCTTCTCAGATGTTTCAGATTGTATATAATCCCAAACAGGAAATGCTGTTGCAGTTAAGATAAAGCAGGCAGTTAATAATAGAACAAATTTTAAAGAAAACATTTTATGCTATAAGTTAAGATTTATTTTCTTAACGAATTGTTTGAAAACTTATGACTTACTGCATATTTATTGTAAATTGTATGGATTTATAAACTTTACAATACCTCAAGTTATTAAATTATTTAAAAATATACATATTTACATATTGTTTAAGTAACAGACTATAGTCTGAATTGATCACCGAGATATTTAAGGAAATTACACGACATGTACTCTATAATAAATTTTATCGGATATTGCATCACTTATTCAATTTGTAGATTTCCATTCAACCACACGATATTTTAAATACCAATACAAGCCTATTAGGACAAGAAAGATCAGCTCAGAAAACACATTTTTTCTATATAAAATGATATGATCGATACATTTTTTATAGAAAATTCAAGAGATCGATAATGTTCTATAAAAATTCTAGTGGGCGTTACATTACTATTCTATTTATCGAAAATTCGAGAGTTCGATAATTTTTTATAGACAATTTAAGAGATCGATAAATCACTAGGAAATCTATTGGTGGATAAATGTTCTAAACAAAAATGATCGAGAATCGATACATTTTTATAGAAAATGAAGACATATCTTCTATAGGATCGAAATATTTCTTTAGGGAATTCAAATGATTGACAAATTTCAAGTGAACGATACATTTTCAATATAAAATAAAGTGATCGATAAATTGTCTATAGAAAATCAAGTGATCATTCGATCTTAAGGCGATAGATTTTCTACTGAAATTCATTATGTATGGACATTTGTGTGATCTTTTAATGGTTTAGAGAAATTCAGAAGTTGTCGATACCTATTTATAGAAAATCAAGTGATTGGTAAATTTTTAATAAAAAAAATTGTTTTTATAGAAAATTCAGGTGAAAATTTGAATTGTTTATTTGTAAATTTTTAACTTTTATAACTTTAAAATATTGTTTTTAAATCTACAGCTTAATATAGGCAAACTATATGATTAACTAAACAAACACAATACATTGTTTCAAATAAATTATTCAATCATTTATTATTTTCCTTAATACACAAAAAAATAAAGCTAAAACGTATTTAAAATCTCCAGGATCCACGGATGCCACCACCGAAATCATTACGATTGTAGTCAAAATTGCGGGAAGCTTGAGCATAAGCATCAATCGATCCACGGCCATCACTGCTGCTGTATAAATTATGATTATAGTTAACTGAAGCTGAACGTCCATATTGATCCTTTCTTGCACCCAAATCGATACTACCATGCTGAGGTGATCTTACTTGTCGAGATAATACCGGTTCATATTCATAGTTCACAGCATCTTGTGGTTGAAGTTCATAGAAATCAGCAAATTCTATAGGTGAAGCAGTAGCAGTTAGAACTAGGCAGGAGGCCACCAGAAGAATACACTTTAAGGAGAACATTTTGTATTATGTTTATTATTTGAATACGTTGGATTTACTGATGAATTTTCGAGCAATGGATGTCTTTTATAAGGTTTATGTTGGGTCCAAAAAAGGGGATTTATTTTCACTTTTTTATTATTCTTAAATTGTTAATTTTTCTTATCAGTATTCTTATTCTGGGATTCACCATTGGAACTTTGCTATTTATAAAATAATAGGGAAATGTATTAAAATGTTTCGTACAGATTCTGGGATTTACAATTTGACAATCTATCAATAACATGTTAACATGTTTTCAACTCTTTGGACGAATCTGCAGTTATTAGAAATTAAAACAGAAAAAAAAAACAGAATTACTTAATAAGTTTCACATGTAGAGATCATAGTATAATATTTATTATGATCGGTTCATAATGAGCCAAAGCTTAGTCTATTAAAAAGCAGTCCATTATTTCAATGTTTTCCCTTTTTTAGAGGGGCTTTTGCTGAAGATCGTTCAAAGAGTAGTGGACATGATAACAATATCTATAAAACTTTTATTTATAAAGCTCCAATAGTACATCACAGAATAAGAATACTGATAAGAATAATAAACAATTGAAAAGTATTTAAAAAGAAAATATAAATCCCCTTATTTTGGACACAACATAAACCATATAAAAGACCTCCATTGCCGACAAATTCATCAGTAAATCCAACGTATTCAAACAATAAACATAATACAAAATGTTCTCCTTAAAGTGTATTATCTTAGTGGCCTCCTGCCTAGTTCTAACTGCTACTGCTTCACCTATAGAATTTGCCGATTTCTATGAACTTCAACCACAAGATATTGTGAACTATGAATATGAACCGGTATTATCTCGACAAGTAAGATCTCCTCAGCATGGTAGTATCGAGTTGGGCGCTAGAAAGGATCAATATGGACGTGAAGCTTCAGTTAACTACAATCATAATTTATATAGCAGCAGTGATGGTCGTGGTACAATTGATGCTTATGCTCAAGCTTCCCGCAATTTTGACTACAATCGTAATGATTACGGTGGTGGCATTCGTGGATCCTGGAGATTTTAAATAGGTTTTAACATTATGTGCTTGTGTATTTAAGAAAAGAAATAAATGACTGATTAACTTATTTGAAACAATTTGTTGTTTTTGTTTTAGTTTAATTAATTAAATGTAGAGTTTTTTAAATTATTTTTTTTTCCACGATTGATCATTTATTTTAATATTTATCTAATTTTCTTGGGTAAAGACATAAACTAATTTATTTAAAATTAACCTATACTTAATCTCAAAATTTATTGTTTGTAACGGCATTCTCAAGAATTTCTAGTCCTGTTGAACGCAAATGACGCTTTACATACGGATCATAAATATTTTTCTTCCTAAATGTTTCAGATGAAATATAATCCTAAATAGTGGTTTCAAAATTTCAAAAAAAAAAAAATTGAGGTATTTATCACTGATCTATTTAACGAAAAGACACGATGTAGAAAATTAAGTGATCGACAAAGTTTAACTAGAAAATTCAAGAGAATGCTAAACTTTCTGCAAAATATTCAACAAATTTTCTGTAGATAATCTAGTAGTCATTAAATTTTCTTTAGAAAATCTAGAGTTTGATATGTTTTCTATAGAAAAATTAAGTGATCGATGGATTTTCTATAAAAATCACATGATCAATAAATGTGGTCGATAAAATCAAGGGATCGTTAAACTTTTAATAGAAAAAGTAACATATGTATTAAAAATGGAAGTGATCGACAAAAGTTTCTGTGGAAAATCAAATGATATATAATATTCTATTGAAGGTGATCATTAAGTTTTTCATAGAACATGTGATCGATAAATTTCTTTTTGAAGTGATCAATATTCTTTTTAAAGAAACACTGTTAATATTAAGTTTTTTTATTGATACCTAAGGTAATTAATTATCTTTTTGAGTTATTGTTAAATTGTTTAGAAACAAGTATAGAACAAGTTTATAGTCGGGCATGCCCGACCTTATAATACCCTACACCAGTGATAATGTTACAAATTTTTAAAATATTCCTTAATTAAGGAATATTTTAACAATTTGTTGACAAAAAAGGAATTTTCTAAAAGAGGGGTTATATGGAGGCAGAGGGTTAATACGTTCCTATTCTTATATATTCTGGTAGAGGGATTTATGTCTACATCAGTTATTTGAGCAGTATATTTTGACCATCAAATCACGTTCTGAAGGGGACTTTGTAAGGGGGATAGGGTCAAATAAGGTCAGATGAGGAGTGATACAAGAACATTTAACATATTTATGAGCTCAAAAGTTATTCGGGAGTACGGTTGTATGGGGGCTATACGAATAATGACCAATTTTAACCATTTTCAATAGGCTTCATCTTTAGAAGAAGAGTATGTGCAAAATTTCATCAAATTATATTTAAAATTGCGACCTGTAGAGTGCGCACAAGATATACATGGACACACAGACGAACGGACGGACAGACGATATAAGTAAATCGATTCAGAAAGTGATTTTGAGCCGATTGGTATACTTTAAGCTGGGTGTAGGACCAATATTTTTGGGTGTTACAAACATCAGCACAATACTCTCTCCACTATAGTGGTGTAGGGTATAAAAATTAAAAAGTTATCGATATCTGGTTCTTTAAAGCTTTGCGTTAAAATTATAATTTTAAAATATTATAAACCATGGTAAAAATATCAAGGTAGTGTCTTTCTCTCTTTTTGTCGCCATACTAACCTCCTGACATTTGCTGGTATTTTTAAAATTCATGCTACCATATTTCCCACAAATTAATCATATTTCCTTTGAACATACATATAATTTTACTTACACACATATTCTTTTCATTTAAAATCAAAAACATTTTTAAATCTAAAAAATTTAACACAAAATAAAATTTCGTAAAAGTTATTACAAAGAATATTCTTTGGTTTATTAGTTTATCAGCATAAAGCCAATCATCATAATGATAAGAATATTCATTAAGAAAATTAAGATGTTCGAAACAAAAATGCGAAAATTTGGTACATGCTGAATATTCAAAAATAAAAACATAATTTTTGAGAATGGCGGAGTTTGGTCTCCACTATTTTAGATAACATGTGAAAGGGTATAAATTGGTAAAGTATAGATGCTTAATATTTATGTAATTGTAAGCATTTTCTTACATAATCTGTTTTTGTATTTTTTTCGTGTTGATTAGAATTAGAATTAGAATATTACTAAAGTGTTGGAACAAACAAAACTGTTGACTGGCGATAGAATTTTAAAGAAATGCGAGAAAACTGATCCAAGAAACTTCTACAAGTTCGGGATTGCGGCAAATGGTTTAAGACATTGTTCGTCGAAATTTATTCTGCGACTCACGTTTGTTACATTAATGAAGACGATTATAATGTTAGATTTAGTTTTGTTAAGGATGTAATTTATAAATCCTGGAAGTGCTATAAAATTTCCGCGTTAATATGTCTTTCTCTTTTTGTATTGCTAATATTAAAATAAAGATTTATAAAATAGATTCATAAAATTTTATAACGCGTTTTTATTGAATTTTCCCAAAACAGAAACATTTTCTTTTATATGTATGTATACTTTTAATTACACATTTTATATGATAATTTCTAAAAAGCAAATTTCCCCTTTTCTGCATGTGGCAACGATATTATCATTTGTTTACAAAAAGAAAATTTCAAAAAATACCGACAAACTTCAAAAAATTTTTTTGTGAGAGAGAAATGACACTACCTTTATACTTATATCATGTTATAAACTAAATACTATTTAGTAAATAGTTTAACAACAAAACAAAAGCAACATTTTATTTTAAATACATTATTCAGTCATTTATTTATTTTTCCATAATACTTAAGAAAATAATGTAAAAACTTATTTAAAATCTCCAGGATCCACGGATGCCACCGCCGTAGTCATTACGATTGTAGTCAAAATTGCGGGAAGCTTGAGCATAAGCATCAATCGATCCACGGCCATCATTACTTGTATACAGATTATGATTGTAGTTAACTGAAGCTTCACGTCCATATTGATCCTTTCTTACGCCCAAATCGATGCTACCATGCTGTGGAGATCTTACTTGTCGTGATGATACCGGTTCATATTCATAGTTCACAGCATCTTGTGGTTGAAGTTCATAGAAATCAGCAAATTCTATAGGTGAAGCAGTAGCAGTTAGAACTAGGCAGGAGGCCACCAGAAGAATACACTTTAAGAAGAACATTTTGTATTATTTTAATTGTTTGAAAACTTCAGATTGACTGATGAATTCGTAGGCAATGATGGTCTTTTATATGGTTTATGTTGCGTCTAAAAAAGGGGATTTATTTTCACTTTTTTAATATTCTTAAATTGTTGTTCCTTCTTATCAGTATTCTTATTCTGGGATTCACCATTGGAACTTTGCTATTTAGCAACTAATAGGGAAATGTATTTAATTGTTCTACAGATTCTGCTAATAAGTTATTCATTGTCGTTGTTATCACGTTTTCAACTCTTTATGTGAATATACAGAAATAAAATATTAACAGAGAAAAGACTTAATAGAGAATGACACTTACTTCATAGCTTTTCATATTTTATGATCGGTTCATAATTAGCCAAAGATCAGTCTATTCAAAATGGTCTATTATTTTAATGTTTCCCTTTTGTAGAGGGGATTTTGCTGCCGGTCGTTCAAAGATTTGAAGACATGATAACAACATCTATACAACTATTATTTGCAGAGCTCCAATGGTAAATCCCATATATAGAATACTGATAAGAAGAATAAACAATAAAAGAGCATTTAAAAAGAAAATGTAAATCCCCTTATTTTGGACCCAACATAAACCATATAAAAGACCTCCATTGCCGTCAAATTCATCAGTAAATCCAACGTATTCAAACAATAAACATAATACAAAATGTTTTCCCTAAAGTGTATTCTTTTAGTGGCATCCTGCCTAGTTCTAACTGCTACTGCTTCACCTATAGAATTTGCAGATTTCTATGAATTTCAACCACAAGATGCTGTAAACTATGAATATGAACCGGTATTATCACAACAAGTAAGATCACCTCAACATGGTAGTATCGATTTGGGTGCAAGAAAGGATCAATATGGACGTTCAGCTTCACTTGACTACAATCATAATATTTTTACAAGTAATGATGGCCGTGGTTCAATTGATGCTTATGCTCAAGCCTCCCGCAATTTTGACTACAATCGTAATGATTTCGGTGGTGGTATCCGTGGATCCTGGAGATTTTAAATAAGTTTTAACATTAATTTCTTGTGTTTTTAAGAAAATTAATAAACGACTGATTATTTTATTAGAAACAATTTGTTGTTTTTGTTTTAGTCAAATAAATATAATGAATAATTTTTAAATAATTTAAAAAAAAGGATAAAAAAAATCAAAATTTCACTTGAAATTTTATTGAAAAATTTTATAGACAATTTATTAAAAATTGAGTTTTACAAACAATATTGATCGCTTAAAGTTCTAAAGAAAAATTAAAGATCACTTGCGTTTTTGGAACAAAAGTTTTTATAATTTAAATTTTCTGTAATATTTAATGGAAATTTAAAAAAAATTATAGATAATTTTAGATTTATATAAAGATCACTTTAATTTTCTTAAAAAAAAAAAAAATATTGATCATAACAATTTTATCTTTATCATAGCAAATATATTGATCACTTGAATTTTCATAAAAAATATATCGACCATATGATTTTTCTATAGAAAAATCATTCTTTAAGTAATGTAGATATTCATTATTATTGAGAAAATGTTTATCTGATCATTTGCAACAGAAAAAATATTGTAGAACTATTACCACATTACTCACATTTTATATAAATAGATTTTTAAATATAACCACAAACATCGTATATTGCAAAGTTTATAAATCAATATAATTTACATTTAATATGCAGTACGTCTATAGTTTTCAAACAATAAGTTTACAATACTATAAAATGTTTTCCTTAAAGTTAACTCTTCTATTATCTTCCTGCTTAGTGCTGACTGTAATAGCATCTCCTGTTTTGGAATTTGAACCATCTGAATATGAAAGTAATAATAATCCGTTTAAAGGACGTCAACTGCGTTCAACTGAACATGGAAATTTTGATGTGGCCATCACAAAGGATCAATTTGGAGATCAAGCATCAATAAATTATGAACAAAAAATTGGTCCTGGTTCAATTCATGCTTTTGCCCAAGCTTCTCACAATCCAGATGATGGTCACACGGATTTGAATGGTGGTATTCGAGGATCGTGGACGTTTTAAGTTTAATATAAAATAAATATTTTATGATTTTAAATACAAAGATTTGTTTTAAAATAAAATATACATAAATCAAAATTACCTTGTGAGTTATTGATCACGAGGTTGATTTATATATAAGTACTTATTAGGTTATATAGATATGTATTCCACTCTCTTGTGGATTGGATATTTTATTCGATGTGTCAACATGATTAGTCAAAACATCCGTACATAACATTGCTTTGAGTATTTATAGCAAATTTTAAATTTTAATAAAATTTCTATGAAACATTTGTCGATTAATTGAAAATTTCATGTGATCGATGCATTATGCATATCGATCGATAAAGTTTCTATAGAAAATTCAAACGATCATTAAATTTTCTATAGAAAACCCTAGTGATCGTTACATTTTTAATGGAAAATTTAAGTAATAGTTAAGTTTGCTATAAAATGTTAAAACTGAACTAGAACTGAACTAGAACTGAACTAGAACTGAACTAGAACTGAACTAGAACTAGAACTGAACTAGAACTGAACTAGAACTGAACTAGAACTGAACTAGAACTGAACTAGAACTGAACTAGAACTGAACTAGAACTGAACTAGAACTGAACTAGAACTGAACTAGAACTGAACTAGAACTGAACTAGAACTGAACTAGAACTGAACTAGAACTGAACTAGAACTGAACGATCATAGAATTTTTTATAGATATATAGTGATCGTTATATTTTTAATGGAAAATTTAAGTTTGCTATAAAATGTTGAAGTGATCATTAAATTGTCAAATGAAGTGATCACTAAACTGTCAATAGTACATGAAATAGTCACGATCTTGAAATTTTCTCTTGAAAACTCTATAAAAAACTCAAACTCATTTTATATAGAAAATTCAACTGATCGCTAAATATTTTTTTTTTTTCAAAATTTAACTGATCTTTATTTTTTTTGGGAAAAATTCAAATGATCAATAAGTTTTTTATAGAATATTTGGTTGATCAACAAATTTTTGTGTAGAAAATTCAATCGATCGAAAATTTTCTTTATAACATTCAAGTTGTTAATACATTTTTATAGAAAATTTAACGATCTGTAGAAAATTATTGTGATAGTTAAATTTCTATAAAAGCTAGAAGTGATCGTTAAATTTTCTAGTAAAAGAACTAGAACTGAACTAGAACTGAACTAGAACTGAACTAGAACTGAACTAGAACTGAACTAGAACTGAACTAGAACTGAACTAGAACTGAACTAGAACTGAACTAGAACTGACTAGAACTGAACTAGAACTGAACTAGAACTGAACTAGAACTGAACTGAACTAGAACTGAACTAGAACTGAACTAGAACTGAACTAGAACTGAACTAGAACTGAACTAGAACTGACTAGAACTGAACTAGAACTGAACTAGAACTGAACTAGAAACTGAACTAGAACTGAACTAGAACTGAACTAGAACTGAACTAGAACTGAACTAGAACTGAACTAGAACTGAACTAGAACTGAACTAGAACTGAACTAGAACTGAACTAGAACTGAACTAGAACTGAACTAGAACTGAACTAGAACTGAACTAGAACTGAACTAGAACTGAACTAGAACCTGAACTAGAACTGAACTAGAACTGAACTAGAACTGAACTAGAACTAACTAGAACTGAACTAGAACTGAACTAGAACTGACTAGAACTGAACTAGAACTGAACTAGAACTGAACTAGAACTGAACTAGAACTGAACTAGAACTGAACTAGAACTGAACTAGAACTGAACTAGAAACTGAACTAGAACTGAACTAGAACTGAACTAGAACTGAACTAGAACTGAACTAGAACTGAACTAGAACTGAACTAGAACTGAACTAGAACTGAACTAGAACTGAACTAGAACTGAACTAGAACGAACTAGACTGAACTAGAACTGAACTAGAACGAACTAGAACTGAACTAGAACTGAACTAGAACTGAACTAGAACTGAACTAGAAACTGAACTAGAACTGAACTAGAACTGAACTAGAACTGAACTAGAACTGAACTAGAACTGAACTAGAACTGAACTAGAACTGAACTAGAACTGAACTAGAACTGACTAGAACTGAACTACTGAACTAGAACTGAACTAGAACTGAACTAGAACTGAACTAGAACTGAACTAGAACTGAACTAGAACTGAACTAGAACTGACTAGAACTGAACTAGAACTGAACTAGAACTGAACTAGAACTGAACTAGAAGACTGAACTAGAACTGAACTAGAACTGAACTAGAACTGAACTAGAACTGAACTAGAACTGAACTAGAACTTGAACTAGAACTGAACTAGATGAACTAGAACTGACTAGAACTGAACTAGAACTGAACTAGAACTGAACTAGAACTGAACTAGAACTGAACTAGAACTGAACTAGAAATGAACTAGAAACTGAACTAGAACTGAACTAGAACTGAACTAGAATGAACTAGAACTGAACTAGAACTGAACTAGAACTGAATTAGAACTGAACTAGAACTGAACTAGAACTGAACTAGAACTGAACTAGAACTGAACGATCATAAAATTTTCTATAGAAACCCCTAGTGATCGTTATATTTTTAATGGAAAATTTAAGTTTGCTATAAAATGTTGAAGTGATCATTAAATTGTCAAATGAAGTGATCACTAAACTGTCAATAGTACATGAAATAGTCACGATCTTAAATTTTCTCTTGAAAACTCTATAAAAAACTCAAACTCATTTTATATAGAAAATTCAACTGATCGCTAAATATTTTTTTTTTTTTTTTTCAAAATTTAACTGATCTTTATTTTTTTTGGGAAAAATTCAAATGATCAATAAGTTTTTTATAGAGTATTTGGTTGATCAACAAATTTTTGTGTAGAAAATTCAATCGATCGAAAATTTTCTTTATAACATTCAAGTTGTTAATACATTTTTATAGAAAATTTAACGATCATTAAATTTTCTGTAGAAAATTATTGTGATAGTTAAATTTCTATAAAAGCTAGAAGTGATCGTTAAATTTTCTAGTAAAAAGTCAAGTGTTAGATAAATTTTATAATTTCATCGATCCGTGATTTTTATGTATAAAATTCAAGTGATCTATAAATTGTTAAAGAAAATTCAAGTGATCAATAAATATTCTATGGTTAGGTTAGAAAATTAAGCGATTTTAAATATTACTGCAGTGATCGTTAAGTCCTCTATAGAAAATTCAAGTGGTTGATAAATTTTTATAAAAAAATCGAATGATCGACTGAGCGATACTTATTTCTATGGAAATTTATTTTGAAAATTTTACTAATCTTTTAATTTTCTATAGGAAACCCCAGTGATCTTTAAGTTCTCTATAGAAAGTTTTGGTGATCGATAAATTTTGTTGAACCGATTAGATTTTATATTAGTACGAAATATTTTCTCTGATACTAATATTGAATTTCGGGGACTTTAAAAAAATATATTTTCCCATATAAAAACCCACAATTCATAAAATAAGGGGATATACATAAATACATATAGAACTTAATAATAAAAATATTTCCTGAACATAAAATACACCTACTTATATGTAAGTGAATCCCTAAAATAATCATAAATTGCTTTCAAATAAATGCTTTCCAAAAAATACGCGGTAAATCACAATTCACCAAAGAAAAAAAAAAAAACAAACAAAGCAATAGTAGATCACCCGCTCAAACCTTATCAGTTGTACAAAATGTCTGTGCTAAGGTGAATCCCAATACCAGAAGTGTAAAATTCATATATAAAGAAACTCAATCTCAAGAGAAGCCAACAGTGAAGAAATACATTTTAAACAATTAAAATTAAATAAAAAAAATTAAAAATGTTCTCATTAAAGTATATTGCATTAGTGGCTGCTTGCTTAATCCTAACAGCCTCAGGTTCTCCCATCGACTTGGAAGATTTGTATGAACCTCATCAAGCTCAGTTGGAAGAATATGAATATGAACCAGTTTTAGTACGCAATGTACGATCACCTCAACATGGTAATATTGATTTTGGCGTGAAACAGGATCAATTTGGACGCGAGGCTTCGGTAAACTATAATCATAATCTTTTTACCAGCAGTGATGGACGTGGTTCGATTGATGCTTATGCTCAAGCTTCCCGAAATTTCGACTACAATCGTAATGATTACGGTGGTGGCATCCGTGGATCATGGAGTTTTTAAGTTTTAAGGAAATTAATTAATGTTTAAGTTATTTTAGCTTTCAGAGTATTTTATTTTTTTTTGTATTGTTTCATGTTTGGCTTTATTATTTACTTTAGTGATTTGTGTTGAAAATATTTTTAAATAAATAAATTTTAAAAACAACAAAGAATTTTTTCATTAAAAAATAATTTACGATGGCTAACACTAAACACTAACTAGCGAAATAATTTTAAATACCGTAAACGTTACATTTGCATCGTTTAGAAACCGTTGCAAAATCTAGAAACGAACTGTAAGTGGATTAAAGGTCCGTTTAATACGTAAATAGCGCCATCTCTTAGATTTTTTGGTTAATTTATTTAGTACGGTCATAAACCATAGTAACTACATAAACCATTATAGCAGTTTTTAGTCTTGGCAATCATTATGGAATATATAGGTCATTGGATTTCAACAGAACCTTGTAAAAAAATATTTTGGCACACAGGTGTTTTAGAAACATTTTTTTTTTACAAATATAATAAAAGCTTTCATCTCCTATAAATACTGTTTAAAAATAAAAACATTTTAAAACTACACCAACTGCTGTTTGTAATTAATTCTTCTTTACATAAATCAAAATGTTATTCTTGAACTTTTTTGTTCTACTAACTATTGCCTTAACATCTCATACTACAGTCCAAGCGTGTACGAATAGAGTTCGTAAGTGCTTTTGAAACAATTTCAGTTACTTTAATTATTTAAAAATTTGGTAATTTTAATTTAAGAGCTGTTTTCCTGTACCCAACCCGCAAATGTGGGTCACAGCGGACCGAGATGTCGGCGAAGCATTATGTGGTATTATCATGCTGGTACTAGACAATGTCATCAAATGCTTTATAGAGGCTGCGGTGGCAACAGGAATCGTTATTGCACTCGTAATGCATGTTTACGAATTTGTAGAAATTAACAAAATATTAACTTTTCCGTTATTACTCTATTAATGCTACAAACCACGAGAAAACATTTTATTAATTGACTGACATTGACATTATACTAAATCATCAGATTGCTTTTCAAAGTACTTATACCCTTCACCTTCGTGAGAAGGGTATATATAAGTTTGTCATTCCGTTTGTAATTTCTATAATACAATTTTCCGACCCTATAAAGTATATATATTCTGGATCCTTATAGATAGCGGTGTCGATTTAGCCATGGGCGTCTGTCTGTCTGTGTGTATGTTGAAATCAGTTTTCAGAAGACCCCAGATATCTGCGAGATCCGAATTTTCAATAATTATATCGGAAATACGATCGAATAGAACGCTATTTGAAATCAGCCCAATCGGCCCATAAATAACGAAGATATGAGTAAAAATCCGAGACCAACTCTGAAAATGTCATCAAAAATTTACATTTTTCGTGCATGCTTATACAAAACAATAAACAAACAAAAACAAAACACAGTATCAAACGGTAAATTTTTTTGTTATTTGTTATTGTAATTCTTGTTTATAAACACAAAGCAAAGAATGAACATCACGTTACGTTGTTATTAGCTAGAAACATGAAATTAAGTATGTAGAGCCTGGATTAGGCGAGAACACATTAAAGGTCACTTTTTGGTACTTTTTCGTTCTACAAAAGGTACTTTTTGAATTTTCTATAATATTGAACCTAGAAATATGAAATTTAGCATGTAGTGCCTTGACTAGGTAAGAACCTATAAAAGGGGACTTTTTGGTACTTTTTCGTTATACAAAAGGTACTTTTTGAATTTTCTATAATATTGAAAATAGAAACATTATGTATAGCCTGGATTAAGTGGGAACTCATAAAAGGGAAGTTTTTGGTACTTTTTCGTTCTTCAAAAGGTACTTTTTGAAATAGAACGTATAAAATGGGATACAATTGGTTTTTTTTATTTTTTGTAATAAAATTCGTACTGACTGTTTTTTAACACATTATGGTGAAGGGTATATAAGACTCGGCACAGCCGAATATAGAACTCTTACTTGTTTTTTAACTAATTTTATATTAAATGCTAATTTTCTTTATAAGAAATAAGAAACAATTTTAAAATGTTGTTAGTCGTGCCAACAGATTATTTACAGAAGAAAAGGAAAAGTGTATTACTATGTGAAGGCCACTATGTTAGAACTAGAACTGAACTAGAAGCAATTAGAACTTAGAAACTATGAACTGAACTAGACTGAACCACTAGAATGAACTAGAAACTAAAAGAACTGAACTAGAACTGAACTAAACTGAACTAGAACTGAACTGAATGAACTAAACTGAACTAGAACTGAAACAGAACTGAACTAGAACTGAACTGAACTAGAACTGAACTAGACTGAACTAGAACGAACTAGAACTGAACTAGAACTGAACTAGAACTGAACTAGAACTTGAACCTAGAATGACTAGAAACTAGAACTGAACTGAAACTGAACTGAAACTGAACTAGAACTGAACTAGAAACTGAACTAGAATAGACTGAACTAGAACTGAACTAGAACTGAACTAGAACTGAACTAGAACTGAACTAGAACTGAACTAGAACTGAACTAGAACTGAACTAGAACTGAACTAGAACTGAACTAGAACTGAACTAGAACTGAACTAGAACTGAACTAGAACTGAACTAGAACTGAACTAGAACTGAACCAGAACTGAACTAGAACTGAACTAGAACTGAACTGGAACTGAACTAAAACTGAATTAGAACTGAACTAGAACTGAACTAGAACTGAACTAGAACTGAACTAGAACTGAACTAGAACTGAACTAGAACTGAACTAGAACTGAACTAGAACTGAACTAGAACTGAACTAGAACTGAACTAGAACTAGAACTGAACTAGAACTGAACTAGAACTGAACTAGAACTAGAACTGAACTAGAACTGAACTAGAACTGAACTAGAACTGAACTAGAACTGAACTAGAACTGAACTAGAACTGAACTAGAACTGAACTAGAACTGAACTAGAACTGAACTAGAACTGAACTACTGAACTAGAACTGAACTAGAACTGAACTAGAACTGAACTAGAACTGAACTAGAACTGAACTAGAACTGAACTAGAACTGAACTAGAACTGAACTAGAACTGAACTAGAACTGAACTAGAAATGCAATTTTTAAATTGGAATCTCACCTGCTGCTAAGAGGAAATAAGTAAATAAAGAGGAGATGATAAATATGCACAAGGAAATTTATTAAACAAAGTAACACACAATTTAGAACTTTTTATGTTTGTTTTGGGGCCTTTAGAAGAGGAAATTAAAATTTGTTAAGGTGGAAACTTGAGTACTTTTTCAATGTTTGTAGAATATTTTTAGGAACGAAAATTTTTAGTAAGTAATTAGTTTAAAAAAATCTACATATGGAATAAAAAATTTAAATAAAAATTTAAAAAACTATTTTTTCCTATAAAATGTAGATTTTCTGAGTTGTAAAAGACACATAAACGAAAACCCACCAGAAAATTTAATGAGAATCTGCATAAAACCCTTGTTTAGATATAATACAATATTTCTGTTTTATAAAAAATACTACGTATTATTTCTAGAATCCCATCATAACAAATGTAATTTGATAACAAAAAACTAATAGGATCAAAATCATTAAGTTCATAAATATATTTTGCCAATTGATTACGAAATCTAACCTCAATGTATTCAAATTAATTACTCACCTGTTGCAGTATACAGTATTTCTTGTAATATTAGGGGTACTATTAATAAAGCGAATAAAAACTTTTATAACTTTTTTTAACTTTTTCATATTTTAATTGATTTTTTTCAATAAATTTAATTTTTTTTATTTTTTCGTCATTGCATATTTTTTATATTTTATTTAAGATTTAATTGCTTTTAAATTTTGTTATTTTGCTAATTAATTTTAATTTAATTTCGCTAATTTAATTTTAGTTTGATTTTTAATTGATTTCATTTAACCATTTTTTGCATCTTCTTATTACACTAACTTTTAATTCACAACAACCTGTGACATCTTTATTTGGATTTTTTCACTTTAATTTTTTCTCTTCTTAGATATAATAAACTTTACAAAAACAACAGCGCAGAATTGCATTACTCTCATACACAACCTCTCCACACACTCTTCTTTATTTTTTTACATTTTTTTTTGTGTTTGCACCAACGAATGGCCAAACTAAAGCAACACAACGCCGCTTCTAATTTGCAAGAAATTTCAAACAAACTTCTAACACTTTTTTCACTAATTTACTTAACATTTTCCAGCAAAATTTTTACACACAATTATTAAGAAACATTTAATTTACATTTTTATGCAAAAATATTTTAATTTGCTTCATTATTTACCACGATTTTTTAATTATTAAACGACACTAATCATTAAACAACCGAACACTTGAAAAATTTCCCGAAAACTAATAAAGAATGCATGTGAAGGGTTATTATTATTGTTGTTGTTGTTATTAGAAATGTGCCAAATGAGTGCCTACTCTTGTGAGAGGAAGTAAATGGGAGTATGAATATTAAAATGTGTAGAAAGGGGAGTTAACAAGGTGACAGCCTTCGGGAGATGATGTTTTTACTGTCAAGTGCTTTTTATATGTAGTTTGACAGTGTTTGTATACGTAAGTCTAATATAAAAAACAATTAATTGTAACCTTGAAATACTTCTGTATGGATGTGACTTGCGTAAGGGAATTTACTAAGATGTGGTACTTTTTTAAGTGTAGAATTAAAAGGGAAGTAAACTAAGTGGATATTTGAGGGTTAATTTAAAGTGAAAGTTGAAACTTGAAGAAATATTTATGAAAATAAAATAACGATACAATAACAATTATCATAATTAAAGAAAATAAAATTTTGTAAAAATAATTACACAGGCCAACGATAAATAAGTCGTATCACCCACCAATTTGCTATATTTTTTTATCGAAGTACTCGTGATTAAATACATATGTACATATACATTTTTGTATCGAAAATAGTAAATTCTGTAATTTTATAAAAGTCTCCGACGACAGACTTATTCCTTAAGATATAAGAATGGGTTCTGGAAAAAGTGTGTGATAATACCACATTAATTTGTGGTCTAAATGGGAAAATGATTTTAACTCTAATATTATAGATTTAGATTTCAACAGCAAATAATTGCAATATGTATGCAACAATCATTCCAATAAGATATAAAACGCCAAAATAGGCTAAAAAATTTTAAAATTATTACAAATTTCCCATATCATTTAGTGTCACTATAATGAGAATTTTTAACAAATTTAACATATTTTGTAAAATACATTAAATATATTCGTACATATTTCTTTAGATGGGAGTTTTTATCTTCATTATATAACATAGACCGTCTTTAGGGTTATAGATATAAGAGTAAAATACAAACCTGAGGATGCGGATGAGATTTCTGGTTACAACAGGAACTACAACACATGATTTTTGTTCATAGAAAGTATGAATGGCATGGCAACTCTAAAGGTGGATGTACACAACATGTGTTATAGGGTTCTGTCTAAAAAGTTAGAATGTATTTTCATTTAACAAGTTAAGGTGAAAGTACACAACATGCGTTGTACGCTTCAACGCGTTAAAATAGTGTATTTTCATTTAACAAGTTACACAGTGTAGTTTGTAACGCGTCTGCCGCGAAAAGTTCAGCAACACTCAACTTTTGACGCGTCGGCAGCTGATCAGAGTTGTATTTTGTTTTGTGTAGAATAATAATAAACTAAAATGTGAAAAAATTTCACCAAAAATTAAAGAGAACTTTTAATTTTTAAAACAGTAATAGTTTTAAAAACATTAATAGAATTATCAAAATGACGCGTGATGTGTAATTTGCAGCTTGTAAAGCGCGAACAGTTTGAAAAGCGTAAAACGCCTTGTCGCCTCAACGCGTGTTGTGTACTTCCAACTTTACACAGAGTAGTTTGTAACTCGTCTGCGGCGAAAAGTTCTGCAAATTTTGACACGTCGGCTGCTGATCAGGGTTGTATTTTGTTTTGTGTAGAATAAGAATAAACTAAAATGAAATGAATTTTACTAACAATGAAAGAAAAATATTAAAAAAATATAAACAAAAACTTGAAATTTTGATTTTTAAAACAGTAATAGTCTTAAAAAACATTAAAAGAAAGATCAAAATGACGCGTGGTGTGTAACTTGCAGCTTGTAAAGAGCGAAAAGTTTGAAAAGCGTAAAACGCGTTGCCGCCTCAACGCGTGTTGTGTACTTTCACCTTAAATGTGTGAGAGAGAGAAAATTCGTAAACAAATTAAAATTAATTTTTAATTTGGTGCGGATTTCTTCTAGAATTTAAGTTGTCGAAGCGCAATATTAAAAAATAACCGCAATATTACATTTCTACTCTAAATTTTAATTTGGTGCGGATTTCTTCTACGATTTAAGTTGTCAATATTAAAAAATAACCGTCTCCGCAGCCGCAATATTGTAATTCTACTCGCAATTTGAAACTTATAAACGTTTTGATAAGCAATTATTTTAGAACATTATGGCCAAAAAATAAAGAATTAGGTCAATATCTCTTAATAATTAGCGGTAACTGCGATTTTAATTTTATGAAAACTACTTTTTGATAATATTTTCAGAAAGTTATGAATTTTATTTTAAACCTTTAAAGAATATATTTTCAATTTCATATGCATATCTGAAGTTTTTGTAAGCCCCTAACTGACAAGGACAAAGTAAAACTATACAATATTGTGAAACTTTCTTGAAACCGTAGTGAAATATTATTTTGTTTCAATTGATTTAAATAAAATTAAAATATATAATGAAGACTCATTTTTATAATGATATCGAAAAAATCGGAATAAAATTAGACTCACAAAAGACAATTTTCATGTTCATGTACAGGACTAATGGGATTTAAATTTAATAGATATACACATTTAAAAAAGGATTTTCTATTAGAACTCCATTTAAGTAAAAGTTCTAACATTCTTTAAAAATACAAATGTAAAATTTAAATTAATGTAAAATTTTAATGGATAAAGTTACTGGAGCAAAATTTTGAACACACATTTATAGATCTATATCTTTCTAAAATAACGCCATAAACAGTTTTCTCATTTTCTACACAAAAACGGAAATTTTTAATAAAAGTACCATGTGATAATAAAAAGTCTTCGAATGTATGTATGTAAGGAACATATAGGGTTATATAAGTATAGAGTAGGATGCCCCGAGTACCACTTTTTTGGAGGAATACCTCTCAAACGCTGCGTTTTAATGAACTAAATAGGAAAAATACAAACAAAACTGATTTTTTAAAAGCTCCTCATAAAAATTACGACAATTTTGACAAATATTTCGATAAAAACCGAAAACAATATCGCTCTCCAAACCCATTCAAAGTCATTTTGTTGACCACAAATACTTTAGAAAAATTTTTAAATTATTTTCTACTTAAAGAATTACGGCATTTTAAAGACCCATTTCAAAAAACTTTTCAATAACTGAGGACCATTCGAAAAAAAAAATATTACGCTTCGGTTAAGAGGTATTCCTACATAAAATTCTTAAAGATGCTGTTTCTCGGAACACTCTAGTATAGAGGCATTGATGATTGGCACTTTGCGTTTTTACAACTTTTTATTCAAATATTTTTTTCCAATATTGATCAAGTTTGAATGCGGTTGGTGGTTGCATTGCCCGATCAAATAAAATTTGTGTATTGTCCCGATGAAGATGTTTTCCTAAAAGTATTGGTACTTTTTTGTAAAAAAAAAAACTGAAAAATACGTCCCATTTTACATGTTGCAACTTTCGATGCGCCTAACTCTTTATAGGGACAAGATATAGCTGAAACATGGCAGAGCTAGAGAGGTGAGTGCATTACTACAACAATACAAAAACAACATGTATTTTATTTTTGTATTAGAATTAGCTTACTGTCAAAAATGACATATTAAAAGTAAACAAATAACATGCATAACATGTAAACAATAATAACTTTTGACAGAAAGCTCACTCTATACAAAAATAATCAGCTGCTTGATCCCTGTCACCTTTTCTATTATGCCATGAGCTGAAAGTATACAACACGCAATGAGGCGGCAACGCGTTTCATGCTGTCCTAAATTAAAAACTTGTAATGCTTTTAAAGACTATTACTGTTTTAAACCGTTAGAGAAATTTATTTAATTTTAATTTATTCTTAATCTACACAAAACAATACATAACCCTTATCAGCTGCTGACGCGTCAAAAGTTTCTGACGCTTTACAATCGACAGTGTGTAATTTATTAAAAAAAATACATTATTTTAACTTTTTTAGACGGAAATTTATAACGCATTGCCGCGTACAACGCATGTTGTGTACTTCCACCTTAACTTATGAGAAGTTTCCGCCTGTTTTATTTATAATATTATAAAACATTAAAAACAGTTTTTCTTGAAACGATGCATCGAGACGTTTTTTTTCAGTTATGTCACTCTTGTAATAAATTTCTATAACAACATTTCATTTGACCCACTTTGTTATCCTTCCCATTAAATATCCCATTTCCACTATTAACATAAAAAAGTACCAAATTCTTTGCAACTTTTAGGCGCAAATATCAATACATTTATGCAAGTGTTTAGCTAATCGCCATTTATAATTTTTTATATATGAAGTTAAGTATGCTAAAACTGTCAAAATGCATACAAAAATATTGACAGTTAAATATTTTCAACCGAATGCGAACCACCTTGTTTATTTACTTCATTTAACTCTATTACGCATTTCAATAATCTCCCACTAACATCCTCTCACTAAAGTATACATACATTTTAGGCAACAATAATATTGGCAACAACAAAAACCATTTGCATTGAGAAATACTGAACTAATAACAACAACAACGACAGTAATAATCTCTTCTTATTTGCATTCCTTTTTAGTTTTCGGGAAATTTTACATGTGTTCGGTTGTTTAATGATTAGTGTCGTTTAATAATTAAAAAAGTCGTGGTAAATAATAAAAAAAATTTAAATATTTTTGCATAAACATGTAATTTAAATGTTTGTTAATAATTGTGTGTAAAAATGTTGCTGGAAAATGTTGAGTAAATTAGTGAAAAAAGTGTTGGAAGTTTTGTATGAAATTGCATGCAAGTTAGAGCCAGTCGTTGTGATGCAAATAAAAAAATGCAAATGAAAATGAAAGTAAAAAGTAAATAAATAAAGAAGAGTATAAGGGGGAGAGGTTGTGTATGAGAGTAAAGAAATTCTGCACTGTTGTTTTTTGTAAAGTTTATAATTTCTAATAAGCGTAATGTAAGAGTGAAAAATCAAGCCTCAATAATAGAAATGCCACAGGTTGTTGTGAATTTAAAGTTCGTCAAATAAAGAAATCCAAAAAGGCATTAAATTTAAATCAAATATTTAA